TCCGTTTCATCCCGACACGCTCATCCCAGCATCAGCCCCCCGTTTCATCCTGACACGCTCATCCCAGCATCAACCCTTCATTTTTTGTCCTGCACTCAATCCTCCATCAGCCCCCATTTCACCCTGACACAGCCATTCCTCCCTCAACCACTCATTTTTTCCAATGCACTCATCCAACCATCCAGCCCAATTTCACCCTGACACAGTCATCTCATCATCACGCCCCATTTCGCCCACTCATTCGATCCTCAAACCCGAATTAATTCCCCTCCGCCATCTTGGCAATGGGATAGTGAGGGTGAATATATTCGACCAAAATTTATTGAATGGGTAATGAGCGTTAAAAAATAGGGTCGAAATTCATAGGAGCAGATCGACTCAGAATCACCCTTTGAGTCGATTCAGATACACCTGTAGAGACTTTGTTTTTAGCCCGTCGGCAATCTTGGAAATGAGTTATTGAAGGTGGAAAAATAGAGTCGAAATTTATAGGTACAGATTGACTTAGAATTCCACCCTGAGTCGATTTACCCACAGCTATAGAGGTATTCTTTTTAACCCTTTGGTTATCTTGGAAATGGCTTAGTGAGGGTGAAAAAATAGGGTCGAAATTGATAGGCAGAAATCGATTGAGAATCATCCCCTGAATCGATTTAGATATACTGGTAGAGACATTTTTTTTACCCCTCCGGGCATCATGAAAATGGGCTAGTGAGGGTGGAAAAACGCCCCCATTTCGCCCGGAAGCTTTCAATTATTCATCGCTTCTCACTCTCACCCCAATTTTTACCCTTCATTGCCCCTCTCCCTTCCCCCTAAAACCTCCCAATTTCCGTCAAAGCATCCATCCCATTTTTATCTTTTCATTTCACCCTCAACCATGCCTATAAAAGCCATGTTTACACACATACCTCTTTCTCAATCCGAGTTTCAGCCCTACACCCATGCTCTACCCTCACGTATCTACTTAAGCCCTAAATTAGCAATTTTCCCTCCCAACCCCATTTATTAGTATCTTAATTATCCCCCCAAAAGTGCCCCTCCTTCGTACGCTCCTGATCACTACTGCTGTGACACTCATTTTCGACTCTCCGAGATTGAGAGGCCTCACTATGGCCATCTACCTAATTTTATTGTCACTAAAAATGACAATTGAATCCTTCCGGGGAAATTCGCGAAAAATATAATAATTATGTTCATGGGCCGGTCATTGGTTGTCGCGAGTGAAAAAAGGATGTGTAAAATGTGGGGAGTTTTTTTTTGCCGGAGTGATTGAGCCGCCATATTTTTCCCCAAACGATCATTGGAGAATTCACCTTGGTGAAATCTAGGGGGTTTCTTCGAACGTAATTACGCGTCCATTATTCAATTTCCCACCCCTGAGACCTAATTACCGGCCTGACAAAAATAATTATCTAATTATTGACCCCAAGATTAGATTTTTTGAAGATCTACAGGGGATAACATTTATGTCCCCGTAAAACACGTTTTTTCTCGGGAATTTGCTACACGGAGAGAAATATTTAGTAAAAATTACGGAACTTTCAGTTCACTTACCGATTACGGAGTTGATTCAAAAAATTTAAGTGACGGTATCGTTATTTTTCACCGATAGTTCAGATAAAAATTACGGAACACCGCGGAAAAATTCCGTGACTTTAGATAAAAATTACGTGACAGTTCCGTAAAATTTCCGACAACCACATTACGCTCCAGAATTACAGAGAATACACGTAATTTTTATTGAATATTTCTCTCAGTGTAGAGACTTGTTGGGTGAAAATCTCTCCACCCGGGCCTTAAGTAGTGTTGCCTATTTATTCTCTCTTTTCCTCTCACTCACATTCATGTACGATTGCCTTTCGCTCGATCGTCATTATTCCTTCGGATATAAGGATTTAGGGACCCGTCCTCAATTTACGTCATTACAATTTAATTGAAAGCGGGATAGAACCAATACCAGGAGAATCAAAAGAAATTGGCAAGGATGGAAATTTCCAAGTACAGCAACTACTATGAACACATCAAGAAACAAATAGAAAACAGTAAATACTGGCTGGACAAGAACCTTAACCTAGACTAGACAATAGCGTGGGCCAGATGGGAATGCACTACTAGGCGGAAGAACAGAAATGGATAGAGGTGAATGCAGAGCCTGCAGGACAAAAACAGAGGATCTTGCACACATACTCAGCTGTGTGGACCTAATGAAAACGACGCACAGGAGGACAAGAGATGGCGGATAAAAGGGAAAAGAAGAAGCAGTCTGAGAGTCCTGTACAAAAGTATAATCATAATGTGCGGCGAACCACCGACCATGAAAAGATGTGACATGCTAGAAAGGGCCTCAGAGAGATCGAGTTAGAGAGGAAGGAGCCCTAGGGGAAAAGATGGAGGTGCCGACTGTTAACAGAACATAGAAATGAATAGACTAGTGTTGGACCGAAGAGGGACAGGTAAATGCTGGAAGTACAAAGAATAAACAAGGAAGGAAGTTAAAGATTCTAACACGATTACGGAGAAACATTGACATATACGGAGTTGTAAATTCTCCATCTCTATTATATTTTCCTTTCTTATCGCTTCATTACCGTAACTATAATGGTAAAATATGATGGGAAGAGTAAGGCTGGTACTGATGTAAAAAAAAGAAGACATTTGTCACATGAAAAGACGTAAATCTAAATTGAAAAATTGTATTATCTCATTCATTTTTCAATTTCCATGTCATATAACTATGTCATTCAGAATATATTTCTTGAGTTTTATTACATATTTGTGAAGAAATAGTAACCTCTCGCGAATCTATCAAAAAGTTGAATTAATTAAATAGTTACTTACTACTTACTAGTTACTAGTTACTTTCTACTATTAGTGACTACTTACTTATTACTGCAAGTTACTACTTACTTCAAAATTATTTTTGATTTTTTTGATATAATTTAATAAAAATAATCATTTTTGGTCAAAAACAAATGGATTTTATAAGATTTTGTTCTCAGCGAGCAGATACACAGGAGAATCAAGTCAACGTACAAATTTTCCGTTTCTATCCTGATGACATAAAAGCTATGCTGACTCCAAGAAAATGATTTTACAATTGCACTTTCCAATTTTTGCTATAACTTCTTATTGAGATTCTTAGTGAATTCTTCTTGAAAAGTAGTTTACAATCTACTCGGAGGTTCACTATCCTTAGTAGGGTGGCTCTCCAGCGGCTTTCGGAGAGTTTTAATCATGCCACCTCTCATCTGACTGGAAAAATATATGGAAAAATGTGCGCGAAGTCTCCAGATCGTAGCTTAGCGGGAAAGCGTGCAGGTGCGACGTTTTTTTTTATCTAAATACCACGGATTTTCAGTCAATTTTCGGTGCTATAATTTTATGTTTTTCATGGAGGATCATGGATTAATTGACATAAAAAAAATTCTGCACAAAGTAACTCGATGTCCGATGCACTTCCTTCAGAGTTCATATTTTTTTCGCTTCCATGAAGCACGTAAAAAATGACACCGAAAATTGATTGAATACCCGCTTCATTTGAATGAATAAACACCGTTCCACCAGCGCGCGTCTCGTTGAGCATTGGTATGGAAACTTCGCGCACATTTTTAAATATTTTTTTCGACTCAGATGAGAGGGCGACAGAGTTAAAATTCTATCAAAGGCCTCTGTAGGGTTACCGTAATCCACAATTATTTGAAAACATCCAAGAGAAAAACTATATTTGTTGCTCCCTGCGCAAGTAATCATGCTTTTACGTAATTGTACGGCTTCTATTGCTGATAAGTTGTGCAATATAGCAAACTAATTATCCAGATGCCTAGTAGACCTTCCGCCAAGAAAACGTTTTGATTCTGAATGCCCATTTCTAGCTCTAACCGACTCAGGCCGAGCGCCACCGGGCTCTATACACGACAAAACCACGCCCTTTACTATCTCTAAATGATTTTTAATCATTATCTCGCGCAGGTCACAATGAATTAGAATATTGCCTTTAGTTACACTATCACAATCATCTATGCGTTTCTCAATGGTATAACTTTCGTATTTTTTCGAATCGATAGTTAATAGCATACATGCATAGCAACAATCGCACATTCACAGTCTCACGATTTTGCATTATGAAATGGTCGAAATCAATTCGTGGGGTTGACAGCACTGCCCCATCACAGTGGGAGCAATACATACTAAACTGCAGCCGAAATTGCATTTGTTTCACCTCACTGTTTCTGTCACACTACATAGCATCAAATAGATTCTCCATCATCTAATCCGCGCCGAGAACCTTGATCTTCCTTCAACTATTTTTTTTTCGTAATACAGAAATTTTGTTTGGCGCTCTTTTTGATTTCTTTTTTTTTCAAACATTTTCAGGACTACACAAAAATTTTTCTTGCCATATTTTTTAGAAAAGTTTATTTTTGTTTTAATGAATATTATTCTATGCGCGATATAAATATCACGCCAAAAATGTCAAAACTTGAAATACAGCACGCACAACGACCATAAACGTACTACGTTTTTCAAATTTGTCAAACAAAAGATGGTATGAATTAAACGGAAATCTTCTTTACATACCGTACTATTAACAGATGTGATTCGCAAATATCGAAACTAATTAAACTAGAAGTGAACGATCGGCTTGTGGGATATGCCCGTATACATAATTGGACCGTATAAATTATATAGTATCAGATGAATAAAATTAAGGTGAAACATGGAACTGATATTGTGTTTCGTCGATGTTTTTAACTCAAGTTTTTCAATCCAAGTACTGTCTATTTTTACACTGAATATCATTTTGCTGTTGCTGGATCTTTAACAGATCACCGTCGGATAAATGAGGACACAAACTTTTCATTTTTTTATTATATACTTCGTAACATGCACAGGCAGCTGCGAAATTGTGCAATTTTAAATGCGAGTGCAGAGTCACTCACTGACGCCTAAGTGAAAGGTGTATGTTAGTGTAGTAGTATCACTTTCGTGGTCGTTATGAAAGCTACCTTGAATGTCATTAAACAATGCAAGGAAAATCTTTACTCACCGAATCATGCCAATAGAAGCATTTATTTCTTGTGATGGATCTCTACATTGGTTATAGTGAGCCACATATATCAATAGGCTAGACTTCCGAAGGTCGACGAAATAGTGAACTATCTGATAATGGTTACATATCATAGCTGCGTGATAAAATGATGGTTCTTCGGAGCATTTGAATCAAGTAAATATTTTAAAGCCATTAATGGTAATTTGAAATAGTGAATTATTTATGCCGCATTTAAAGTACAGATATTTATTAAGTATTATTGGCTGATATTTAGAATGAAGATTCGGTTTTAAAATGGAATACATAGTATACATTGCGATACATAATGTATAATATCATGTAAGAAATATATGAGGGATAATATTGGCTACATAAATATGTCTGGGGGGTATATTAAAAGAAACAAAAAATTCATTAATCAGTATCCACCTATTAGAAAGAAGCATACCATACACACTCATTATATGTTATATCACGAAATTACCAAGAGAATCGATTAAAAGCATTCCATATATTTTATTCGACATGGAAAATAAATGAGACTTACTCGTTTTTCCATCAATAATATATTAATAAATTGATTCGCGAACGAAAAAATCGACTAACTTACTTCTAGCAGCCCATAATTTTCCCTCCCGAAGTGCTTTGATGAAAATCTTCATATCTCTGCGACAGTCGTCCACAATTTTTCCTGGTATTGTCACCCACCTTAAGGGATCATACACATCACTCAACCACTGTACGCTATTGGCTGTCATTTCCAGTTTTTCGCCCATGAAATTTAAGTCGAAATCTCGTCGATCATTCTCATTTTTTAGGCCAATCTTTAAATAATTTTTCCAATCCAATTCTGGATTGTTTTTGCTAAAAGATATGAGTCGGTCATGACCTTCGTTTCTTTCTGCCTCTGTAAAATCGACACTCCCGTTGGAATTTATAATTGACATCTTATTTGTTACTGGAAGTGGTTTCTGCGGTCTACTTAGTCGTAGAATATTTGACTCGGTTCGATTACTATGTCCAAGCTTGATTAAGGTAATGAAGAAAAATAATAAGATTCTTGAATACATTTTTTTTATCATCTTTTAGCTTCAATTTAATAAAGACTAAATTGTCCTGGATTACACCTCATTCAATGCACTATTAAGTGATCGAGCAGTATAGAAGAACTGCATTTTTACACCGTTGAATCGAAATACTCCAAATGTTGATTGCTACGAAATCAGGCTCTCTACAAAAATGTCGATTTTAGCTCTGTCAACTTCCCATCGCGAACAATAACTTTATCTTGGAGATTTTTATTGGCTCACTTCGTTTCTTTTTTGGATTTCATTTAAGAAATTTCACAGTTTCTAAACTCGTGAAATGTCCGTAATACAATGAATCACACAATGCACTCTCTGGCGCGACGTTTGACCTTTGAAATGCTGAAATAACTTCAAACTTTTTCAGTATAGCCAAATTCGACGTACCGTACTCGTACGACGTACGAGATAGACAGCGAGTTAATCCGGGGAATTCACTTGATTTAGAGAGATAAAAAAGAAATTTAAATAGTTGATGAATATTGCCTGAATTTTGTTTGAATATGATAAAGCAATTCACTAGAAGATGACACAGGAAGCCGGCATTCGACTGCACGTGATCATGCTTACCACGAACTAAATGAAATGCACCAAGTGTTTGCAATTTTGCTTCCCCTTTCTCTTGACACTTCCAATGTCGATCGTTCTCCAGGGATAGTCCAGAAGATAACTACTAGCTTTCGTCCTTCGGCCGTTTAGTTTCCAGAACAAAAATGGGTACTCTAGTAACATTTATATCTCTTCGATTATTGAAAACTATTGAATAACTTGGTATATACTATGAAGTCAACATAAAAAATATTAAAAATCGCATAAACAACTTATTTTTCTGTTACACTGTTATACACGATAAAGCGAGGTGATGTCGATTAACATTAAACACATGCGTTTGTTTGAACGAATTTGTTTCCTAAAAACACTCTAAGTATTGTGCTATTTTCAATTGAATAAATGCACTTAACGAAAATCTCCCTGATCAATCAGCACATTTTCATGAAGAAAACCAAAGATGAAAAAAGTGCTTCGAGTGTAAAACAATCTTACATCGTTCTTTAATTTAGCAACCAGTTTGGCTCCAAGTAAGTATGCAAATTAAGCTACAGATATGTGCTGACTCATTTTTATTAACTTTTTGCTCAACAAGGAGCAATTATTCGAATAAAACGGGTGGTAAATAACTACCCAGAAGTTTTCGCATTTGCCGCTTTGAATCTCGGCATTATATTCTGTGATATAGTTCGCGGCGTGGTAGCCATCATCAAGATATTCAAAATTGAATTGACCGAAAAAAATTTAACTCAATATGTAAAATATCTTAGACTGATCGGACAACATACCTGTATATGAGTAACTTTTTTGCTTTCGTCTGAGAACAAAAGTTTGCACAACAGTTTCATTATTCACGATAATGATTGATGGTACATTTTTTCACCTAGCTCCTTTCCCATTTGATAGTTTTTTCCAGTTTTACTGGAACATAATAGTTTGGAAATACATTAATAATATTTTCAAATATTCGCCAAACAAAATACTTTCTTTGACTCTGATTTTTTTCACAGGAATCTAATATACACGGAAAATTCTCCAAACTGCGCCCCATAGTTTCGTAGCCGGCTTCCTTTGAAATATTTCATATGGTTGCTGTACGATCTGAGAGGATTTCAATAAAAAAAAATCTTTTTCACTGGAAACTGATCAGTTAGAATAGTTAATAAAATATGAACTAAGCTATAAAAAAATTCTGCAAAAATCAAATAAAAGTTCAGTGAGCGTCTTGTAGTTTAGCGATGCGGCAAAAATGACCGTTCCGCTTAGTGAAATTAGTCGATGGCTTAGCAGAAGTTATCTAACTAGTTAGGAGAAATCAGCTAGAAGCTAAGTAATTCTCCTTGAAGGGCTGGACAACTTGTGACGTAGTTTCAGAAAGTTCAGAATGCATGTTCCATCATGCAACCTTCGGATACCAACAAACACAAAATCGAGATACGCGGTAGCGTATCGGCCAAGTAAAAGTTTCGTCTCTATCCAACAAATACCCAAGTAGGGTTTCGGTATTGGGCGAGCCTTGGTCCAAGCCTGGTATGCCAATAGCCAGTACTGGCCGGCTTTTGGTAAATTAAATGGTCGATCATTGGTCCAACGTTTGGATGATAACGCCGGGCCAATAATGACAAACAATAATTGACCAAGCATTGGGATCATGTCGGGCCCAATTTTGGCCCACAATTGGCCCAAGACTTATTTGCCAAGTACAAATACTGGAAATATTGGAGAAAAAAAAATTATTAATGCATGTTACGCTCATTTTCCTATTAGTTACGCCTTAACTCATAACTCCTAACTCAACAACGCTTGAAAAAGCCGATTTTGTTAACTTAAAATATCCAGCCTACGGTTAGGTTTGAACTCGGAACCCTTCGCATACAAGCCCAACGACTTAACCACAAGACTATCGCACGATTCATATACTTGCAAATAAACATCATTCATATAAATATCGCTGGGTTTTCATTTATATCATTATTATATTTAAATTGCTTATTTTGTAGTTTATTTATGTATATTTAATATGTATTTTTATTATTATTGATTTATACTTTTTATATTTATTTCTAATTTTTTGGCGCTCCACGTTTGAATTATTAAACTAATTCGTTGAGTTGATAGTCTAAGCTAATATAATGATTTTAAAATATTATTAATAAATAAATTAAATATTACAAATATTCTTCATGATTATTTATGATTATCACCATTAGGTTATATTATTATTGTCATATCATTATCGTTATTTTACCCTTGGCTGTCGATGTTTGGCCGAGCCTTGAGATTTGTCAGCCAATTTGAGATTTGTCAGCCAAGGATCAGTCGGCCACCCATCGGCCCAAACACGGGCGCTGAGGCTTGGTTCATGTGTGATTGGTCGGATATTGGCCTAACAGTGAAACACCAATGGTTGGTGTGTTCATCATTGGCCACGTATTGGCCCAATATTGCACCGCCAATGCTAGCATTGAAGCGCCAGTGATTGGCGTGATTTCCATTGGCCACATATTGGCCGAATATTGAAGCACCAATGCTTGGTAAACTTTCTCTTGGCTAAGTGTTGGCCTAGCTTTGATGTGCCAATGCTTGACACATATACAATTGGCCAGGTATCGGCCAAACATGGAAGCGCCTATCGTCGACGTTTTTACTCTTGGCCTATTATTGGCCTATAGATGGTATGCCGATGATTGGTTTGTCAATGTTGGTCCATACTATGGTTAAAGATTGGCGTTCAATGGGTGGATTTCCATGAATTGGACCAATCTTTGCCCATTATTGGGTTACAATAGTATGTACGCCAGAACTTAACCAAGCATTGGTCCAATGATTGACGATTGGCAAACCCTACTTGGGTAAGGCCGAGAGCTACGGTGCATCTATACACGACACAACTACCCCTTCCACTACCTCCTAATCGTATTCAATCCATAAAATACAAACGCTATAAGTTACATGAAATCTGTGAATAGTTAAATTATACAAATCGCCCTCAAGCTTTTCGTTGATATAAGTTTTCCCTTTTTTCGATTAATATTGGTAAAAATGCGCGCATGGCAACGGGCTCATTTCAATATTTTACCGATTTCTATTATCTTTCGGTTACATTGAAGTGACGAAGTTGGCAGCAGGTCGATCCAATCTAAGCTGGGCCAAATTTGGCGTTGAGATGTTGCCATCAGTGTATTCAAACCGTTGAATCACAAAAGGGAAACAGAGGAGAATGTTTTATTTTTTCCTTTGGATTTTATATTTTTTATCTATTTCCATAATTATAATTGGTAACTAGAATATGCTGTGAAAATTATATGCAGTTCTTGAAAAATCCGTGAAATCTCCCGAAATGACAAAAACTGGTGTTTTTGTAAAAAAAAACTCAGCCAAGTAAAAGTTTTGCACAACTGATTCCGTGAAAAACTCGTGTTTTGCCAAATTATGGCATTCCAAGATATTAAAAAAAACTCAGAAAATGTAAATGAAAATGCCAAGAAAAGTGATACGAGTTGATAGAAAGGATTCAATAATGAAAATAAAAAAATCAGTAGAGACAGGAACAACTTACTTGGCGCGGTTTTATTTACAGGATAATGCTAAAATGCAATTTGATTAATAACTAAAAGTGACTGAAGATAATTTTTGGCTCTAGCTCTAGTTCTTGGGAAAAACCGCGCCAACTAAGTTGGTCCTGTCTCTACTGATTTTTTTATTTTCATTATTGAATCCTTTCTATCGACTCGTATCACTTTTCTTGGCATTTTCATCTACATTTTCTGAGTTTTTTTTAATATCTTGAAATGTCATATTTTGGCAAAACACGAGTTTTTCACGGAATCAATTGTGCGAAACTTTTACTTGGCTGAGTTTTTTTTACAAAAACACCAGTTTTTGTCATTTAGGGAGATCTAAATATCCGGCGGCTGGTCATTAAGTAGCAATGATCTCCGATCAAAATCCTTCTCCAATTCTAGCTCCCAGAGCTCACCAGTAGCTCATTGGATAGGCATTTTATTTACTTAAAAAAAAAGCTGAAAATAAAATGCCGTTAGGAGCGTTCCAATAAAAATAAAATTCTATGAAACAGTCGAGGACAGCAACATTGAATTGAATATTTCAAGTCGATATAAAAATTATAAACAATGACTAAATGAAATCTCCTTACGGCAGTGTCGCGTTTCGGACACAAAAATCTAGACTTAATATTTACAATGAGTGCACATTCGTAAAGTTAGAATGAAAGGTAGGCTTGTGAAGGCATGTTTCAAATAAGAGAGATCAAAAATACTAAATAACTTTTTGAGAATCAAAGCGATAGAAAAAAAGTCCGTCAATATTAAAACCAGAATTTGCGAAACATAAATGAAGAGTACTTTAGTTACTCGAAACACCACTATAATGCCAGTCACCGGTAAGTCAACGAGACCTTTTACACCGGGAATGCGAAACAAAACACAATCAATTCAATCAAATGATCGAGAGGTCATTTCAAATATCCTCTAACATGACAAAAAAATTTCTAATGGCAAGAGTGAACGCAATGAATCAATTCTTGTCTTGTCTTGATTATGAAAGTAGAACCACGAAAATGAAGTTCGCTCGAGTCGAAATATCTCGAAACGCGTATGACTAATTTCTCATTGGTCAGCTCTAACCGCCAAATTGAAATTGGGCGCACAGAATGCGTAGGAGATCCTATGTATTTTAATTCAAGCTTAATTCGTTTTAAGTTGAGGAGGCAACAGTTCAGGGCCTGGATACTTAATATATCTACAAAACAGTGAATCTCAGCTCATGTAATACTAAGCAATAAAAGAAAGTATGCTCACACGAAGATATATTGAAATTCGTCCTACCTAACGTAAAATTTCCACGTGAGTCTCCTTCAAAATATGACCTCCTCAAAATGTCCGCCCTAACTCGCTACTGAACAATGAAGTGATTCCCAAAAATTGTGAGCAGGCCGTCAAGAAGTGGTCCTCGTGGTAATCATTCTGATTGGTAGTAATGAATTAATCAGCCAGCAGTCACTTCGAATTAAACATGTGCATCAGGTACTAACATTCATTAATGGATACGCCTCTCAGCTCAAGCGATACCTTTCAATAATGCCGTGCCTACCGTGCATGAATAACATCGGAGCACATCCTAAAAAACTTTATTTAAAAGCCTGCTACTAACACAACAAATAAATATTTAATTTGACGTCTTCTGTATAATATCCATAACTCTATCTTAAACCCCAATCAGCCCAATGGGTCTGCACCACATCCGTTGTATAAATAACCAGAAGGTGGCGCCCCCAATACAGGGTGTGGCTACTAATTCCTCGCCGAGACGACGAAGAAATCCGAAGGGTCTTCGGACGATGACTGACAATCCCAGGAGCTTCTTAATCCCACGATTCTTCCCGATGCCGTCCCCTCGATAACGAAGCGCACTGGTGCACTATTCAAATTAAAAGACTCAAAAAGAAATTAATGAAAAGAACAACTGCCTCAACCTCCGTCGAAACTTCTTATCGAAAGTGAAATCCCATCTGGTGAAAGTCAACTAAAATCGCGTAATGATCGAGGAGCAAGTGACGTACCCAAATACCAGGCTACAAACGGTTAATAATAAAATAATAAAAATAGAACCTAAGACGACAACTTAAGTTAAAATCTCTGTCTCACCAAAACAAAGCCAGTTACCTGTCTATGGCTTACGCAGGAAAATTGTCACGGGGTATGAGATCGAAATTACCGCCCATGTCGAAACGAATCAGATCAAATTCATTTACCAAATATCTAATTAGTGAGAAAGGAGGTGGTGGATGGAAAAGGAGGTGGAAAAGAGGATTGCAGATGGAAAAGGAAGGGAACATGTAGGTGCCGGGCTATGGAATTTATAACGGGATCTTTGGAAAGCATATGAACCTAAATTTTAGATTGTTGTCTGCCACTCTCTCGCGAATTGCTCGAACTGTCAATGCACATGAGGACTGGAGCCCGATTTCTTAAGGAGTGGGAGGTCTGCGAATAGGCAACAGCACAGAGCGGACACGTAGAAGCATTCCCAGTTGCTCTATGAGACTTCCTGGCATTCAGCATAGGATTCATACCGGCGTATGAGCGCTCCATATTAGACGGGGCAGCCATGGAGACAGCTGATCATTCGGAGGGGTTGTTCGAAGGAGTCAGTGGCAACGTTTGAATCCGGCGCGCTCTAGTAGCAGCTAATGTTAGGTATATCCACGCTGCGACATAGGCACGTCGCGGCACACGGCCACCAAGTCGCGAGTCGAGAGTAAGGAAGAGTACCATAGGGGCTTGCACTTTGCTCGGCAGAGCAGCTCTGGCTGAATCTCAGTGAACCTCGTCATTCGCTCGCTCTTTTACTGGCCTCTAGTAGACCCCCGGGTACTTACCCGACAAAAGTCAGTAATTCGAAAAACGCACATATGTACTCGATTGTACATCGTTAGTACATGATTGTACCTATAAATTTCTTGTTTGTACATGAACTGATTAATTTAAAAAAATTAATTAAATTTCGGCATGATCTTAGCCGACAACAAATTAAAAATTGATCAATAAAACCAAATTAGGGGTGTTTTCCGAAGGAAATCGTGTGTACATTACGAATTTCTTGTTTTCGTCGTTTGTACATTGATTGTTAATGAGTTAAATCCATTTGAAAAATCATGGTCTAAGTTGCGCGTTCCTATACTATCGACCTCTGCGCATTGTTCTGTGTTTAAATGGGTTTTTATTGCATTACTCTTTGCTTTACGAGTATAAACATTGAATCTAACAGAAATTGTACTATTGAAATGTGGATTCTGCATCAAACTTTCATTGAAAGAAATATTGCGCGCATCTACGTCATAACAAGTCAGGTGAGAGGGGCCGCGATGAGAGGGGACAATTCATTTTTAGCCACCATGTTCATTTCGGAGTGCAGTGGAGAGTTATTTTTGGAGTGGAGTATTATTGAAAAGCATTATTGGGGAACGTCCGTACATTCCAATTAATCGTATGGAAATGCATTAACCATAATTTTGAGGAAATAAAAATTTGATTTTGCTTCAATTGAGAGTAAAATCCTTCTCCTTTATGAATCCCTTAGATGGAGCTCAATTTTTCAATTTGTTCCTAATTTATAAACATTTGAAAAAAGTCATGAGTCTCCATTTTACCGCACTGCCCCCTATATACATTAACGAGTAGCAGTGATAGGATCTGCGAAAGCCCATTTAGACACAGAACAATGCGCAGAGGTCGATAGTATAGGAACGCGCAACGTAGACCATGATTTTTCAAATGGATTTAACTCATTAACAATCAATGTACAAACGACGAAAACAAGAAATTCGTAATGTACACACGATTTCCTTCGGAAAACACCCCTCATTTGGTTTTATTGATCAATTTTTAATTTGTTGTCGGCTAAGATCATGCCGAAATTTAATTAATTTTTTTAAATTAATCAGTTGATGTACAAACAAGAAATTTATAGGTACAAACATGTACTAACGATGTATAATCGAGTACATATGTGCGTTTTTCGAATTACTGACTTTTGTCGGGTAAGTACCCGGGGGTCTCTAGTAGGCCACCCAAGACTCGCCTTGGTTGGATATGCTCTCTAGGTTTGAGGTCATCCTCCCCTGTATGCTTTCTATGTTTAAGGCCACCTCTAGCGGTCTGCCGCGACCTCGGTAGTTATTATAAAATGCCGTCACCCAAGCTACATGCTCTCCGGGCGGTTCCCTATGTTCTGGTAACGGTTACGCGTGCTCTCGGTGATGATATCCGCAACAGCGTCCTTGGCGCTCCAGATACTCACACGAACTTCCTATTGGTATCCTATTGGGATCTTTGATGGGGGCGTAATTTAGGGTTTGGCCGTCTGATGGCAGAATGAGGAACCAGTTGAAACGGGATAGTGGTTAGCTGGTGGATTGTATTTACGTGATTTTTCTCCCTGTAATTTGAGTAGAATGAAAATTTCAATAAATGAAATTTGCAAATTTGCAGATACACAACCGAGCTACAAAAGTTTCCTTAGGGGAGAACGTTTATTAGATGCGCAACACTTCATTCCCGGTCCCCCAAACCAGTGACAGTGACACTTACATATTATTAGCATTTTGTCTCCAAACTTCTCATTTGAAAAATGCACCCCATGAAATAAATGGAGAAGTACTTAAAACTGGGCATGTAAAGAGCATGAAATGCTCGTGCAAAGTTGGAAGTGGTGTCTGTAAACACGTGGCAGCTGTACTATTATGGTGCAATTGGTGAAGTTATCTAACATTATCCCGCTAGACATAAGGAAATCATTAAAATGATTTCGTTATTATTGCAGACATGACGTGGAAGGCTTGCCAATTCTGACTTGCACGGATAAGGAATGTATCTGGAATACACCTCAAAAATCATCACTGCAAAAATACGATGCAAATCCATCAATGGAGCATGAGTGCTTTGTGGCCAGCATGACCAATCAAGATCAACAGATTCAGAATGGCTCAACCAAACTACCTGGTGAGTAGGATGGTATTCAAGGACTGGACGAATTCAATTCTCCAGAATTTCAAGACGAATTATTAACAAAAGTGATGGTCAAAAACCGAAATTCAGCGTTAGCACTACACGCGTAATGAGACTGATTTTCTTTCTGCGTTTGTGGTTATTTTCGTCCATTCTGATCATTTTGAGCGGTTTTTGTTGCAATGATAATTGATTTGATCTTTTTTCTTTTAATATTTACACTCGATCAGTTTTGATTATACCTATTTTTACGATTATTTACACTCAATCAACTTTTATTTGATCAATTTTTTAGAATCTTTACACCCACTTAATTTTCATTTACGGATTTTTCTCAGTCGAAGTGCTAAAATAAGATGAATACTGTAGATATTCTTCACCATTATCTATACTTTTTTCACCCACAACAATCTATTTTATAATAACTCTACATGAAAAAATAAAAATAATTGTCAGTGCATATTTTATTTTTATTGTAGTTTTTCCGTTCATTTCTCTTTACTCCACAGCGCCGGGAGACATAAAGTCATTGAGCTAACTAACAACAATAATATAATGATTCATCCTACGAAAATTCAAACTTTATTCGACCATCAAAATTCTTCAGAATTTCATCATAATGTGAAAAAAGTAGAGGTAGCAAGTCTCCAAGAGTGTTGTAAGAGGACTGTTTCCCGGTTGGGGGAGAACGTGATTGCTATTCGCATTCAGAGTTTGCGTTACTACTCAGTGTGGCAAAATGAAAGACAATTTCGAATCATCAGGAGTGTATCATATGGGATTTTCACATATCGTAATAATAAGAAGCCCAACTGAAAGAAAAAATCACTCGGTTATTTTTACCCGAAGCCAGTGGATAATTGTTACGTAAAGCATGGCTTGAAATGTGAGACATTAATCTGAAAAGCTTATCAGCAAAGTATTTTATCTATGAGTGTAATCGAATCGCGATTAGTTGCTTCACCCGGAAATTCGTTGTTGGGATACTCCTCTGACAGAATAATCTTTGACAACGACAAACCTTTAAAATTAATTGAAATAAAATGTCCTTATGGGAGTAAGACTCAAAGCTTGGATGAGGTAATAACATCTGTGAAGTGGTTGGTCAAGAAAGGAGGTAAATACGAATTAGAGTAGGTACATTCCTATTGCGCTCAAGCCCAGATAGGTATAGCTATCTTGAATTTACCTGTCGGAGACTTTATTGTATATTCACCATTCGATGATAAATTCACTTCATTCCCAATTGAATTTGACTCGAAATATGCAACAAATTTGTTGTACACTTTAAAAAAGCTGTATTTCAATGAAATGATACATCATGTCCCGGGCGGACCATTCGAGATCTACTCGATAGACCCTCGATAGAGTGAATCGAGTTGTGCACTGAGTCGATAGGTGTTCGAGATTGAGTCGATGGTAATGTGGATCCATATTACCATCGACTCAATCTCGAACACCTATCGACTCAGTGCACAACTCGATTCCACCCTATCGTGTGGTCCGCCAGGGGTCTGTGAAAAAGAGAATGGAAATGTCGACGAGGAATAAAAATTACAAGCTTTCCTCACTTTATTGAGCTAATGAAAAGAGAACGAACTGATCAGCAAAATTATTACTTTATTTATTACTTTGATACAGTAAAAAATATATTTGGAATGTTCGAGAAGTGCATATATTTACTCATCCATATTCTCACCTGAAAATTTGTGATTTTTCAGAATTGGTGAACTAAAGTTCACAACCCCACAAATTATGGTGAAAATTTTTTAAATTTTTCTCAGCAAACAAATAGGCATCGTATCACCCAGAACAGCAAATGTTCTTAATCGCTGATTCACTCTTTAAACATATACTCTAGCTGTAGCGATTTGACGATTTGTGAGCGCCTCTGATCTGGTAAATTGCGTTTTATTCCTTAGAAGAAATGGGGTAAGGAGTTCCATATCATGTCTCCGACAGAGATCGTCAACAGTAAAACCTTTATCGGATATAACGATATCATTTTTGTCCATTTTCTTAACAATCCCACTTGTTCAAAAATCACGTTATCAGAGACACGACCACTATAAACAAAATCAATCGAGCTGGTGTTACACCAGTCATGAATTTTACCGTGTACGACGTTTTGTAACAGGAATAAGTTTGCAATTGACAGCATAATTTGGATGGTTTTTGGATTCGAATCCCGGTACAATCTACAACAACTCGAATATTTTTCAAACATTCAAAACAAGACGCAATAGTATGCAGAATATTCTTCTTGCTTGGCCAAATAATACTTGGTTTTACACAATTATTTAGGACATCAAGCCTGTCAAAAATTCTCTGTTTGCAGGTAGCCGCAGAACAAGAGTGAAACATTATTGCTAACACAGCATAACTCAAATTTAATTTGAGTGTCATAAATGTCATCATAATGGTTTCCCTCAAATTTAGTTTAGTCCTCGGATCCGTCGATCTTAGAATTTTGATTAATTCTTCGATTCTCGCTACCAATGCAAAACTACTAATTCCCGTGAAAGTACTCAATTGATGACCTTCGGTTATAAAATCAGTCATTTTTGGCATGATAAGATCAGTTTGAACCTGTACTCCAGTATCCTCATAAGTTTTCTCACTATTTTTCATGGAATCTTCCAACCTCTCCCCAACCTGGATTCCTACATCCTGGAATTTTTTGACGAGGGGTGTAGTATTTTCCTCTATGGCAGGGTTCTCGATTGATTTATCATCACATATTCCATTATGCTCTAGTCTCTCCTCTTCCTTCTCAGCCTCTTCCAAATTTTGGTAAGAATTTTCAACTTCGTCTAGAGTTTCTCCAAATGTTTCATCGTCATGAACAATTGGACATTGCTTTGCGACTGATCTCCCACGTCTTCTCTCCTCTCGAGCTTATTTTCTTGAGGTGCGTTTCAAGATTACCAATGCCTATAAAAAAATTGGTAATTATTACTAATTATATAAGAAAATCTCAAATATAATAATGTAAGGGTTTTTTTGCAATTGATTTTGATACTTAGGGGGGGATATTAAATCTGAACGGGTGAAATGTAGAAAACAAACTCTCATCGATTTCGATACGTCGTTCCCTATTCTCAGCACTCTAATCCAAGCCTGCCTTCACTCTATTATTTCATCTTCATCGAACTTGTTCACTATCTTGACGAAACACGTATTTTCATCCGGGAATTTGTAAAATCTCACTTTTGGGTTGTGACAAGCCATGCTGGTGCACTCATACACAGAACAATAAACACTGCTGTTGTTTTTCCTTTCGCCGAACTCCATTTTTAACTCGACTCAATACCACAATATAAAATAGATAGTAATAATGAAAACAGTTTCGCTGTGTACTTGTGCCAGCTAACCGCTTTCTATCCTGTTTGGCCCAGTTCTCGGTTCTGCCGCACAGCTGGCGTATCTCAGCGCTAGAGATCCCAATAGCGTTCACCAGACTCGATTTCTCCTTTTTGGGCTTGATTAAACTCTAGGTTAGACTCGTCTATGGCTGGACCCTGACCTCCTCTCCACGATCTAGCGATTCTGAACGACCCAGGCCTCCCCGCTTTCGTTCCATTCGTCGTCGGCTTTCGTTTTTCACTGGTAGTTTTACAGTGGTTGGATTATCGTTTTTAAGGAAATTGGGTTCTCGCCAGGACGAATCCCAACGAATCCCAATCCCAATGGTATTATTTTTGGAATTTCTGTAGGATTTAGAATTTGGTTTTCCGATTAACGAAGCTTACCTACCTCGGATAAGTTAGGGCACTCCAGCTCCTTTCCATCTTTTGGTTGTTTCGGTTTTCGTTACCTTTAAGTCCATAAAAGGCTGATCAATTCGAGGGGGAAGGTTAGCTACGCCAGCCTACTTGCCACAACGCGACATAATAAGGAAAAAGGGAACATTCTAAACAAATTAAATGGGACAAAGTTAGGAGGGCGACGGTGGGAATCTTAATACTTAATTGGGGGATCGATAGTAACAATAATTATCTTTAAGGGGCTCGCTTCTAAATAAAGGGAATTACTCTGGGGCTCACCAGAGGAGAAATTAATATACGGCAGGAAAAACTCGTTGCGACAAGGAATAAAATGGGGCACTCACAGGGGATAGCGATTTAACAATCCTCAGGGTTTTCTTTTCCAGACTTCCTCTAAAGGATTTAGCAAGATAGGCATGGTGATCTATCCCCAACGAATTACAAGACGCCAATGTTTTGATATATGTATGACTAAGCATACTTGCAAAGACCATTTCTATAGGTTAATTAACTTATAACTATGCATAACTATAATTACTAGTTAATCACCCTCTAAAACTGATCTGTGAAGATATTTTTAATGAAAAATGTCAAGAGGATTTAGCCGAATAGGAATGGTGAAGCTAACTCCAACTAATTTAAATGCGCTACTTTTTTTAAAATATATTTTGTGACCTTGGCCGATAAATTAAATTGAAATAATTCTCGCCTGAGGCATATTCGAGAAATTGTTATTAGTCCTTAATTAAGGGGAATGTATTACAATTTAATGAAGGACCTGAAACAATAGAAAAGAGGGGAAGGGGGGGGGGGGTGAATGATTACTCGAAGTGATCTCTGCTGAGGGAATTTATCATACAGAAGTCTTATTTCCAAAATTATCACACAGAAATTTAATCCAGGCTTTTTTACTACTAACACACTCGGGGGTAGAGGTAAGGCTAACTCACTTGCGGCTATGCGAAAGACTATCAGAAAAAAAAGGAGGGTGGTTCTAAACCTGCAAAGAGGGAGAAGTTAGAGAGGGGCGACTGTAAAAAGTAATAATTAATAGGTGGCTTGACTTACAAGAGAAGAAAATGAATTTAATGGAGGCTCACCATTGATAGGAAATTATATTAAGGGGCCCGGAAACTCGTTGGGGTAGGGAATGAAAATAGGGCACGAACGAGTACTGACGACTCGAAAATCCTCGGGATTCTCTCCTCCACTCTTCCTCTGGGAAATTCCTCCTTCTTGGAACTTCTTCCTACACTCGCGACTCCTAGACACGGAAATCCTTTCGATAAGTCCTTCTCGAAGTAGTTCTCCACAACAGGTTTCCTCTCCAATATTTTTCCTCCACACAATAATTCCTCTCGTCACACTAATCCCTTTCCTCACAGTGGCTCTCACAAGAGTTCTCTTCACAATAGTTCACTTCACCAATGTCTCTCTTTCCTCCACACAATTCTCTCTGGGGCAGTGACTCGTGGGTTAGCG